TATACTGTTTCGCCCATGATACTCCCCATGCGTTGCCATTCCTGAGGACTCAGAATTCCTTTGTACCTTGTAAATTCACGCCATATCCCACCCTTCAAACCGAAACACAGCCATGCAAACATAACTGCTTCACGGTAGAAACACGAATGGGACAGAGGTACCCATGCAATCGACTCTTGTACAAAGTCTCCCTCTGGTATATTATTATAATTTATCAATTAACAATACATATAATAAAATCGTAAATGGTCGCTGTCTGTAAAGATCTAGAAGATATATATATATATATATATATATATATATATATATATATATATATATATATATATATATATATATATATATATATATATATATATATATATATATATATATATATTATAAGGGAGCTTTATGAACATAATAGAACCCAAAACAATAATTATTAGAATTATTGCCTGTTAGTCTGTACGTTTGTGCACGCTAATCTCAGAAACGGCTTCACCACTTTGAATGCGGTTTTCACTAATGCTTTACGGTTTGTTCCATTTAATGTTTAGTGTTTCTTTTATTAAAAATTATATCAATCTAAAGAATCATATATTAAAAGGTTATAAAAGTTGCCACGCTTGGCAAGCAGGTTGACGACCGCAGCGAAGAAGAATACAAGCTACTAATTTGTATCCCGGTCAGCGAATATGTTGCAGTCAAAACTCTTAACTAGTCAAAAGTACTATTGACTAGCAAAATCAGTCAAAAATACTTTTAACTGAACAGCTTGGTCAAAAGTGGTTTGACTGAAAATTATTGGTTATTAGTACTTTTGACTGCAAATTTGCGGTCAGATTTGTTTTTTTTTTTAATGGATGATAATGGAATGGTAACCCCACCCGCGCTATCGGTATACACCGGCGGGGCACCAGTGAAGGATGATAGGTGAGGATGAAGCAGGTCAGTTAGCCCATCGTAACGAATTCAACAAGAATTGTTTACAATGGTTTCCAGGGGGAACCACGTGGAGGTCGACCTAATAAGGCATATTGCTAGCAATGCGGTTGTCAAACTCCATTGCTAACAATCCCTTTCCCCCCCCGGTCAGGTTTGGTTCGGTTAGGTACTTTTAACTGTTATTGTAGTCAAAAGTATTATGGACTAAAGCATACGGTCAGAAGTACTTTTGACTGACTTTGCTAGACAATAGTACTTTTAACTGGTTAAGAGTTTTGACTCCAAAAAATATATCCCGGTTATGAAGTTAAATACTTCATAAATAGCTTATAGAATGAACTTAGTTCGTGAGGAGTAGTAGAGTAGACTGAAAGACGATGTAGTGACAAAAATCGAAAAAGGAATGTTGCGTTGGTTTGGTCATTTGGAGAGGATGGATGAAAGAAGAATTACGAAAGAGATTTATCGAGCAAGAATGAATGGAGATGTCGGTAGGGGCCGCCCTAGACGGACGTATGTCGACCAAATAGGCGACGTGCTGGAGAAGGGCCAAATTAAAAGTGCCCGTAACCGGCGAGCGTGTATGAAAAGATTCATGAATGTGGAAGAAGCGAAAGAGGTTTGTTTGAATCGAAGCATTTGGCGTTCCATTGTTTCTGCCTACCCTAATGGGAGACAGGCGTGACAGATATGTATGTATGCATCTAGTTCGTGAGGAAAACTTATATTTAACTAAACATATGACTTCTGTTATTTCAGCAAATGCCAACGACAATAACTAGCAAAAATAAAAAGGAATCATAGAAATAAGAACCCAAGAGTAAGTGAGACAGCAATAAATTTATTTTTCATATGTGTCTCGTTATTATGTGAGTTCGTTGCCCTATCTTGTTGTTTTTTTTATCCATTTTGCTTTGGCTTATTGGTGTGTATACTAACTTATTATTTGGAACGTTCGACTTAATGTAATTGCCAAATATGTATGCTGAGAATACGATATGTAAAAATAAAAAACATACTGTGTCACTATTTCTTTTAATCCCCATAATGTCGTAACAGTCGACTAGACAAACATTTTTTGTTTTAATGTTATTATTATTATTTAAATTTTTACAAAAATTCACATATCCCCTCCTAAGGAGAGGAGATGGCAAACTAAACCCCGGCAGAAGCACAGTCGGCCCGGGTTCAGGGCCCCAGGGAGAGAAACCGGCGTACAATGCGGGCAGTATCTAAGAGCACCGCTTTCTGCATCTTCCCCGGGAGTAAGCCGCCTCGGAATCCCAACCGTCTGAGATGTTGTTCCAAACTAGTTGGGATAAGACCGTTCACCGACAAAACGATTGGAATGATTATTTTGAGAGTAACAAATATCCTTACAGCCTGTTCAAATTAAAATATGAAAAGGTTGCATCATCATATCAGCCGTTAACTGTCCACTGTTGGACATAGGCCTATTAGTATTGGAGGGTTTTGCCCGTAGTTGCCACGCTTGGCAGACGGGTTGGCAACTGCAGTTGGACTTTGGTGGTGTTTTAAAAGGAACACTGCTGCCCATCCCTCAGCCACTAACTTCCCTTAATCGCCTCTTACGATACCCACGGGAAAGGAAGTGGTTCATTCTATGCCGGGACCACACGGAGGAATAGGGTTATTGTCATTTAAATTTAAATTAACATTATAAAGAGGAGAGATGTAATTTTTTTGTTTGTAATGGATTAACTTAAAAAAATGCCGGTGTAACGTGTTCAAAAAGTTGAGACAACCCAGGTAAATTATCATAGTTTACTTCGATATGATCTGGTTAATTCCCACCTCTATATAAACCATAAGTACTCGTATTTTCTTATTCAGTTCAAAAACAACATTGTTTACAAGGTACATAATATTGAGGGGCGATCCATAAACCGCGGTTTACGGGGGCAACGGTCGCGCGTTGCCCCAAAATGAGGCCGGGACGCACTGTGATCAATCACGCACAACCCATTTAGTGTTTCACTAGCTTTATTTTATGTAATCCATCATTTTCTTTATGTTTTTATGGGTTAAGTGAGGCGGCAACACTGGGTTGAGACAATTTTCACTATTGTACCAGAAGTGTTTCAATAAAATCCGTTGCTATTCTTAATCTATGAAACCGTAGAAAGTGGTTTTCATAGGTAAGTTAGTCTATGAATAAAATAGTGATTTGCAAAAATGCGTTTTGTAATTTGTCGATATAAAAAAAATATAAAAGGATGTTATAGGTGATTAAAGTTGTAATGTGAATTTCTTTTTAATTTAATATTTTATATTGAATTTTTTAATAATAATAATAACAGAGCCAAGACACATCGAACACAAATCTTATTTCAAACTTCAATAAATTGGACTTACTTAAATATATTTTTTAACAAATATGTATAATAGAAGTACGACCAAATATCTAATTTATCACATATAGTAAAAGTTTGTATTGTACAAACATCGAATCCGCAACTTTTGTAACATGAGAAAATGTCAAATAAATATCTATCAAGATTTTTAAAATTCAAATAGTTATTAAGTTAGATACAAATATTACGAAAATATTTAATTTTTAAATCCTACCAATATCATAAATCGGAAAGTTTTTAATGATATTTTTATGAATATCATGAAATTTAGTACACAGGTAGATTACATCTTAACACCTAGAATACTTTATACAGTGATTCATGCTGGCAAAATCGCAAGAAAAAGCTAGTGAATTATATTTATATACAGCATGCATAAGAAATTTAATTGCGTCATGATCAATCATAAAAATTACGATTTTGATAAAGCGCTAAACTATTGACAAGAAAATTGATCAAATATTTTTCAAACAGCAATTTTACATTTGATAAACATAAAAATGGTCGTCACAGGCGTATAATAGCCCTAATAATACAGACGAGGGTCAGTGGCCGTCGCAACGCGGAACTCGGCGTTCTTAATCACAGTTTAATCCCGGGTTAATTATTATAATTATTTAAAAATTCCACCTAGGGGACTGTTTTTGTTTTATTCTCATTTGTTGCACATCAATTCAGCTAATTATAAAAAAAAATATTTATATCTATTTTTTTTTATATTATTTGTCACTTAGTCGTAGAATAAACGAATTGTGATCAATATGATGAAAACCACGTAATTTACAGGGTACAGAGGAATAACACCTGAGCCCTCAGGAATGGCAACGCATGGGGGGTATCATGGGCGAAACAGTATACTCTGTTATGTCGATGGTACTGCTCATGTCTATAGGCGACGGTTACCACTTTCCATCAGGTGGGCCGTCAGCTTGTTTGCCATTCTAAGTTGTATAAAAAAAAAAACGTAAATAATTTATAGTTTTAAAGCAACATCAAATTTTTAAACGACTTCAAGCTATATGTCAAATAGAAGTCTAAATACGCATATATTGTATTTTCTTGTATGCTATTTCTTTCTTTAAAAATTTAGAACCAATTTTGTCAATTCTTTTTCAATAGTCAGGTTTACTTTTATGTTGGTCTAATTTTAATTTTGCTACTATTCTGAATAATAATAATTTCATTGCATAACCATGATTGTTACAAACTCAGCACTGGAAATTACGGTAAAAGTATGTACGAATTCATTTGTACATTTGGATCAGTTTAAACATCTGTGTCTGAACCAATGAATAAATACTTATTTACATGGTAAGTATATAGATGTTAACAATAGATATAAGTCCACATATTTTGCCATAATTATGTATGCAAAAAAAAACTTTAAAAAGTAATAATATTGATTGAATAAATTATTAAAACAATTAGTAATGTTATAATAAATATACAAATATTTCAATACTTGAAGTCGTTAATGATAAAAAAATTGTTGCATTTGTCCTATTGATTTTCTTTGTTTATTCGCTTATATAAAAAAAAAACAAAAGGTGCTATTATAAAACAAAACTGTCATTTAAACATTACAAATAAACAATAAACAGTAGTTTTCGGTTACTACCTATTTGAAAAGAAAAATGTATAAAAACGAAATTTGAAATGCATATTTAATTGTGATGCAATAAGTTATTCAAATACGACCTTGGAAATAAACATCTAATTAAACGACGTAATTCTCACATCCTCACCCTTATTACCAATATACGGAAACCGCACGACGTATCCCAAAATAAATCCTCATTCACGCAACATTAATGCGAAAACATACGCAGTAACCCGATTAACCTTTAAAACGTTAGAAATTAATCGATATATTTACTCTACGCCGCAGTCACAACACTAATGAATTTAAAAAAATATATATACACAATTCGATTTCAAATTTCGAACACGTCTCGCACAGAGGAGGATTCAATGTTTTTTTTTTAATTATACACCGAGGCTTCGACAGCACGCGTGTACCGCGACGTAAAGCCGAGTGTAGACTGTGGTTGGGCGGGGAGTGGGACCGGTGGGTGGGGCGCCCGCCCTATTGTTAAGGTCTGTACAGACAAGATGGTTCTTTATTGCTTTCATGAGGTGCTATTGTGGTTTGTAATGTACGCTCCATGAGCTGAAACTGAAACGCGTAAATAAATTGTTTTGGAATTGTTCTAACGATTCCAATAAATAAATTGTTGCCTTAACAACGTAAATTAGTATTTTAATTAAAGTACTGTTCCATATTTAAATTTATTGAAATTTAAATATGAAATAACATATCTTGTTTTAACTTTCTTTTTAGTTTATATCAAAATTTATATGATCTAAGATTGCGTTCCCAAAAAAAAAAAAACAATTTTAATTGTGACAAAACCAGTTGTTCCATCCTAGAATGGAACAACTAAATACCTAATTTCTTATCTGATAAATGAAATGCTGATCTGGCAACAATTTTTAATACGTATTTTTATATTAAACAACATCTAACAATAAAAGGTTACAATAATAAAGAACACAGGTTATTTTTTTCTTTTTTATACATAGACAATATAGGTTAGTGACGACAAAAGATCACCGATATAACTAGTGATGTGCTTAAATACTATACCGATTGTTTTTTTATTTCTATGCAGTCAATCTGTAAGTTTTTTTATGCAACTTAGAATGGCAAACAAGCTGACGGCCCACCTGATGGAAAGTGGTAACCGTCGCCTATAGACATGAGCAGTACCACAGTAATTCCCTATACTGTGACAGTATCATGAACATAATATAGTATACTGTATATATTACTGTACTTTAGTAAGCATCTCTTATTCTAGTCCTACTGGCAAAACCCCCCAAAGGGAGGCTTATGTTCATGCAGAACATAAGTCTCTCTTTGGTGGTTTTTGACAGTAGTTGCCAAGCTTGGTAGGGTGGTATTGGGTTGGCAACCGCAGTTAGGCTTTAAAAATGTTTTAAGAGGGACGCTGCTGCCCATATCTCGACCGCCCATAGTCGCCTCTTACGACACCCACGAGAAAGGAAGGGGTGGCTTACTCTATGCCGGGACCATACGGCAATAGGCATAATTACTTGATTATAAGTTATTTTATGAGTTTAACAACTTAGCTATGTACATAATGTGATTTAAATACTATGTTATGCTTCAAATACATTACTTTAAACGTTATTCACTTAAAATGTACCTGAGTACAAATATTTCTGACAATATATTTAACGGACAGACAACCATTACACGAAAACGATTTTTATTCCATTCTGTACAAAGTTCAAAATCCAATATTGAATGAATGTTCAGCTTTTAGCAAAAATAAATTTTGGTAAAACGAGTGCTCCGAATACTAAGTGCTAGAGCCATCAATAATGTCGAATACCACTGTCTATGCTCTTGTTGGAAGGCGTAAAGATAAATTGTATTTAAATACTGAAAGATAAATTCTCACCAATATAATCCATATTATTATATATTTATATATATATGATTATTATGTCTGTGTATATGTTATGAAGGGTAAGATATGGCAGTACTGTTTCCATACCTTATAATTTTTATAGGGTACAGAGTAGGCATGTATATATATATTTAGTCATATATATATATATATATATATATATATATATATATATATATATATATATATATATATATATATATATATATATATAATTATTCTAAAATTTATTTTATATATATATAGGTGATTGTAAAAACAAACTTATAAAATATGATAAAATATGAATAATTACTGAGTCCATTTTCTATAATTGGATTTAAATACATATTAAAAATACAAACTCGTTAAAGAATTTTTTATGAATCGATTTATCAAATGAAGTTTTATATCGATTTAAAAATCGACCTTATTCGAAAATAATCGCCAATCCAAGTACGATGCATTGTTCTCGGGAATGGTGACATGTGAGCGTTACTATGGGCAGCACAGTGTATTCCAGGAAGTCTATGGTGCTGTCGATATTTTTATGTTTTATTAAATTCATGTTAATTTAATATGTAAAAATACTGCATTAGTAGTTAGAGTATATAAAATATATGAACCATTCTATAGAATATTCTTTTATGCAGTTTAAAATGGTGAACAAGCTGACGGCCCACCTGATGGAAAGTGGTAACCGTCGGCTATAGACATGAGCAGTACCATGGACATAACAGAGTATACTGTTTCGCCCATGATACCCTCCATGCGTTGCCATTCCTGAGGACTCAGGTGTTATTCCTCTGTACCCTGTAATTTCACTGCCATATCCACCCTTCAAACCAAAACACAGTCATGCAAACACAACTGCTTCACGCTAGAAATACAAATGGGACAGAGGTACCCAAGCAGACAAATTGTATACAAAATTTACCTCTGGTAAACATACATGTAGTATATATACATATTTCTTACGATTAATATGTTTGAACGTTAATCTAGATATACTATAATTTTTGATTATATTTAATATGCAAATTTATACTCATTTAAATTAAATTCAAGTTTACCTAACACAGCCAGATGTTTTTTAAATCGAAAAATAAAATAAAACGAAAACATGCACAATGTTCGAAAACTCAACTCAGATAAATCTACATACACCCTAGCGCCACGAAGTTTAAATACATAATTATTTATTATTTTTTTTGTTGTTAAAGCGAGAATTTGAAATTACTTTTTCGTCCGGTCGCTGCACTTTTACCTTTTGTCTGACTCTCGAGTGGTAAAGTAATAAACGTGCGTTTTATCTCGCAGTTAACAGAATGTCACGCTCGTTTCTTATTGGGTTATGTTGTCCTAGTATTATTATTGCATCAGATAAGCCCCGAGGGGTATTTATAACTTTTAATTTGTATTTTTTATATGTGGCAATGGGCTTTTTTTTATTTTTAAACTGCATCAGATAATTCTAAGTTTAAATAAATCATTATTTTACTGATAATATATAATTAATAATAATAAATCTATACTTATAATAAATCTGTAGAGATGTAAATTCTGTACATGAAATATATTTCCAAAATAACTATCAGGGGGTGATTAGTGATCGATACTGATGCCAAAAATGCAATCAGTATAATTTTTTGTCTGTCTGTCTTTAGGTTCGGTATAGAAATAAAAACTACTCGACGGATTTTAACGAAACTTGGTACAATTATTCTTTATACTCCTGGGCAGGTTATAGTATACTTTTCATCACGCTACGATCAATAGGAGCAGAGCAGTGACGGGAAATGTTGGGAAAACAAGAAAAGTTACTCCATTTTTAAGCTTCCGTCGCGTGTGCAGCCTTAATGGCCACTTTCTAAAATGTAAAAATGTCCACCCGTGCGACGCCGGGACGGGCCGCTAGTAGTAAATATTGTTACACTTACAAAAAGGGTTCATACAGAGTATAATAGCATGTATAAGGAGGAGAAGGTGGAACGCAATGTTTATTTATTTATAGGATTAGCAACATAAGATACAGCGAAACATTTCAATACAAAACACTGGCAGATTAGATGTAACTGTTTTTACATTTAGAAGCAACCACAGCATGCTTTGTGTTTGATAAATATTAAAATGAAATTATATTATTAAATGTCATTAAATAAATAAAAATATAAACAATATGATGTCGGTAGGGGCCGCCCTAGACGGACGTATGTCGACCAATTAGGCGACGTGCTGAAGAAGGGCCAAATTAAAAGTACTCGTAACCGGCGAGCGTGTATGACAAGATTGATGAATGTGGAAGATGCGAAAGAGGCTTGTTTGAATCGAAGCATTTGGCGTTCCATTGTTTCTGCCTACCCTAATGGGAGACAGGCGTGACAGATATGTATGTATGTATGTATGTACAATATGAATAGTATAGTAATGTGATTTTGCCGAAATAGTTCCCGCTCAGCGTTGTGCTGCAGTTGAGGAGCTACAGCGCTTATTTTCAGCGGTACAAATTTGGATAGGACTTAAATTAACTAAAATTAATATGCTTATTTACATTATATTGCACATACATAACTTACATAACATCATAGTCTATTTACCACAAAAAAAACAATCGTGGTGGCAAAACCTATCCTGGTCGATTGCCAGTAAATTCCTCATCAATCCATCCATCCTGTCAACGTGTACCAATAGCACAAAGGTGTTTCCATTCTATTAGCAATTTAAAAAAGAACACTCATACTTTTCAAATGAATTATATATTTATTTATATATATATATATATATATATATATATATATATATATTATACCGGAATTTTTCTACAATATTCATTTGGTATCTGTAAAGTCTTATGTGACGTGGGGGGGAAAGGGATTGTTAGTAATGGAGACTGAGAATCCCATTGCTAGCAATATACCCAACCAGGTCGACATCCTCGTCGTTCTCCCTGAGCCTAACTGTAAACTGTAACTGGTCTGTTTTCATTCTCATCTATCACCCGTCACTGGTACTCCGCCAGCGTATCCCGTTAGCGCAGGCGGGGCTAACATACCACTTTCGCCCCAAAAAAAAAAAAGAAAAAAAATGTCTTATGTGACGACTCACTTTTGATCAAAGAACCTTCCAAGTTGCATTTAAAACGCATATGCACCAACCTATAATTCCGAATGGCTCCATAATTATTGGTGTGTGAACAAAGAAACACCGGCCCATACGAGCGTGACGGTGAGTGAGGGTGATGCAACTCATTGTGTAAGATTTGACGCGTCACTGACCATTGGGTACTGTTTGGTCACCTACCAATGCCCGCCGGTATCATCATGTAGACATCGTCTGCCCACTAGAATAAACCAAACAGGCTACGTTCAGGGACTTCCAAATTTAATTTAATTTATCAGAGGGAGTACCATGGACATAACAGAGTATACTCTTTCGCCCATGATACCCCCCATGCGTTGCCATTCCTGAGGACTCAGGTGTTATTCCTCTGTACCCTGTAAAACTGCAATTAATTTAGAATGCTGAAATGGTCCTCACTGCAGCTTAAGCTGCAGC